GGAAGGGTGTATGTCCTCACTGCTGTCCCAGGAACTGGTCTGACCAAGGGGCTCCTTCCTCTGGACATCTCTCGCCTTTCCTCACAAAGAGTGCTTTTTCTGAAAAGGACCCCTTGGGATAGATTTGGAATCACGACCTATTTTTAAAACCCCATGGCACCTTTTGGAGAGTCATTCATTTCCCCCTAGTCTTTAAGATTTTGCCAGTAGGATTTCTAGTTTGCGGGACAGAGGCCTCCTGGTTTTTATTGTTCCAGAATACCAGGGAAGCCGGTCCAGGCCAGGATACAAGGCAGCACAGCCCCCTCATCTACAACAGGTATGTTCTGGACTAGCAAAGGGATCACAAGCCATTGCCTTAGTTCACCAGAATCCACCTTGCTACTCTTTCTCCTGTGTTTGTGAGTGCAGATCCACTGAGCACATTCACCACCACACCACACAAAAACAGATGCTGCTGCTTCTTGCCCCACGTTCTCTTAAAGCATTGCCTCACTTATACCCAAGCCCAGTTCACCAAGTACAATTTTGCAGTCATCACTTTCAGAATACCACTGCTGAGGAGGAGCGTGTGCGTGTGTGTGTGCCTGTATGTGAGAGGCATCCTTTCACTCACCCTCAGGGGTTGCTTGGAAGGAGCTCTGTCTTACTTCCATGCCTGGCTTTGCCCCAGAGTCTCTTTGCAAAGCCTCCACTGATTCCTTCCTATGATAGCCCCATTGAGGCCTTTGCTCCACCTCCTTTCCACTTCACCCCTAAGTTTCAGGGTTGAGTCTCCTCTCCCCACATTTACAAAACCCAGGCAGGTTGGGTAGCTGGTGTGATGCTATCTGGGACAGTCTTATCTAGCTACAAAGCATGAATCAGTGATTACACCACACAGGGCTGGTGCCAGCCAGACGGGCTGCCATATTGCCAAGTAACCCAGTGGTTGAACCAGGTTAGGTTGAGTAATATCCACCAATGGGAAGTGAGTTTATTAATCATGCAGCATAGTTGACGAAAGTGTAACTCCGAAGGCCTAGTTTGATTGGGGAAGGTGTAGGTGGGGCTGGATACTAATGAGGAAGAAACCGAGTGACAGGATCTTCCTCTGTTCTCTAGAAAAACATAGGAATCTGGAAGGAGATGTCTAGTTTAGCAAAGAGATACATTTTATGCTCAATCAGTCAGACTTTTCAGCCATCTTGGATTCCCTTTGTTAAAAAAAGGAAGATACCTCCACGTGGCTGTAGATCAAAAACCGCAGTTTGGAATTTTAAAAGTTTCACGAGGCCAGAGAAGGGAATTCAAGATGGCAGCCAGTGACCTAGAATTGTGTGGGCGCGAAAATCTCTGATGCCATCCTGCATTCTCTTTGTTCATCTCTCACTTCAAAAACATTCTTTTCCAAGGCCACAGCCTACCTCCTCCACCCAGGCCCCAATTTCTTGGTGACTGCAGCCAACCAGAAATACCACCCATAGTTTTTCAATGTGATGGGCCTGCCTGGTAGCAGCAAAAGCAGTTTCTGAGCAGGTACACAGGATTTCTGTTACTTTGTGACTGGCCTGGTTTGGGCCTCAGGGGCTAAGACATGGACCCAAGTCACAACCTTGGGTGACATTTATATGGCCCCTAAACTTTGCCGAGGCCAAGCACATGTGAAACACTGCAGAGAAGGTCAGGGGAATTTTCTAGAGGGCAGGCAGGAAAAAAGGGAGGGGGAGAGGACCGACTTGTCCAAAGACTGTTCTAGAACAAGTCTCAAGGGATAAAGGATTCTAAAGACTATGGGGAGTAAGGAGAGGGGAGCAGGATGGAGATGCACATACATACTATGGAGGACACATATTTCCTTATGAGAAATAAAGCTCTGGGGTTGGCAAATAATTTCATTAAAGGGTGAGGAATATTCTGGGGGAGATAACCTGTAGGGTGGCAAACGTGTTGCTTTTTTGGGAGGAAGAAATCATTACATGTAACGGGCTGATGCTACACAAACATGCCTGGTGTGTTCTCCAAATCCCAAATGTCTCTCTTCCCTTAAAAGCATCAGGCCCCTGGGTCATTTATAAAAGTGACTTTTCCGCCAGGACCACTTTAACCAGGCAGGATACTCCCTCAATAGTGAGTCCTGTCCAGGCAGGATTAAAGTTGTACAACTTTCAAGCCTGATTTTCCCCAATTATATGACCACAAAAGAGCTGCCAATCTCTCTGGTTATCTTGCCAACCCTGAAGAACCTCTGTCAAGCCTCCACCTGTTTTTTAAGCTTCAAAAGATTTAGCAGGAGAACTATTCAGTGTGGCTATAGAGGCCCTCTGGGGTCTTACTCTCCTAAGACCATCAGAGAAACAGTTTGTAAACCAGGATGTCCCCTCCCCTAACACCAAATACCCATTGGAAACCGGACAGAAGGTTCTAGAAGATTCCAGGCATCAGCCCTGATTCCCTGTTTGTTCATCTAATCTCTCTGGCAGGTTAAGCCTCTCAAGGGTGGAGAGAAATCCTCTTTCCCCGAGAACCACAGGAAACACTGAAAACTGTGTTGGAAATACCAGAACCTGCACAAAATTCTGACCAACCTCCAATAACATCAAGTTCTATGTTTCCCCTTCGAGAGTTTTCAGAGCGAGAAATGACAAAACCAGGCATAACAACCGATCAAACAAATCACCAGTCAAAAACAAACCAAGACAAAAAGACCAGGCCAAACCAAAACTTTATGCTATGAAAACAAGAAATAAAATAAGGAGATTTATAGGCCGGCTGATTGTCAGCAAACACAATATATTTACTGTATTAGCATTTGCTCACAGTGCAAATGGTACAACATTACACCATTTCAATATTTCGGTTTTTAAAAATGCTGTTTTCATGAACTATATTATATTGGCATAACAACGTGACGAAGGAGCAAATGAAATGTTGGTGAAGAATTTCACCTTTTCACAATATCAAGCATATTTTTTAACCTTAGTATAAGGTACTATAAATCCAAGAAATAAAAACATCCACAAAATATATTACATCTGGTTTGTCTTTTTCTAAGTACTCAACTTTATACAAAAGTCTTTCAAAAAATATCATTCCCCATAGGTTTTCCTGTTTAAAACCTGATTATTTTTTTTTCCTCTCAGTTCACATAAGTTAGAGTGCATTTTCTTTTGTTCTTTTTTTTTTTAAACATGCAGACATATAAAAAAATCTGGATAGCACAACGTTTTGGCAACAAAGTTATTTTTCTCTTAGTTTAGCTTAAATGTCTGAGAACAGTTTTATTAAAACAAAGGAAAACTCGGAGTTAACATGCAGTGACATGCAGACACCAGAAGGAGCAAGGTAAAAATATTAAAGGATATCTGATTCCTCCTTCCAGCTTTGAAGTGACCAAAATTTTTTTTTTTTAATAATCATCACATTATAAAAAGTATTCAGCAAAATACTGTCTTTGCAAAGAAAGATTTTACCCTTCAGCTGAAAAAATATGGGCCCTCCTGGCAAACTTCATCTTCTTCTCTCTCCTTCTACAAAAAGTCCAAGTACCTGGAAATTCACAACCCCCCCTGCTCTTTGATTCCCCCCCCTTCACTAAAGTCCATGTAGTATTATTATCCACCACCAAAAAACCGGTGCTTTTTTTTCCTTTAGAAAAAAAAAGTGGGAAACGCATAAAGTGACTTTAAAAACAGACATTCTGTAAACTCCAGACCTTTGTTCCTTCTCTCTGGCCAGCTACCGACCACAGGAGAAATAACGCTAAGAGGGAACTGGTACATTCAGTCAAGACTGTGCTGGAAGCTGTGTCACAGAGCAACCTTCCCTACTATTCCGAAAGAGCCGCCCTGTGCTAGAGAAGTGCTGGGCAGGACAGCTGGGGACAAGGGGGTGCCTGAGAAGAGGTGAGGTAGGGCAGGGAGAAGGTGAGGCTGGGATATGGAAAAGAGACATCTCATTCATCAACATGGATTAATGAAAAAAAATCCCCGTATCTTTGAGGACAATTTGGACAGAGATGTGTGTATGTATATACACACACATGGGTACAGATACGTCGTGTGTGTATATATCCACGCACACATACATACATATGTAGATATAATCTCATCAGTTAACATTTTCATAAAAAATAAACCATTTAAAGCTGTATACACCTACAAATTCTCTTTATGCCAGTGCACTGCACTGGATAACCAAATACCTTAGAAATTTTATCTTTCTAGGAATACATGTAACAGGTATGTTTTATATATATATATGTATGTGTGTATCTGCATACACATACATACACATACATACACATTCCATATATATATATATATTTAATTTCTATCTGCTGTGTTGGTGATGACAAAGGGCAAAACCAAAGCCAGCTTTCTTATGAATGGTGGAAAGAGAAATGGGTATGTGAGAAAAAAAAATAGAAAGCTGGAGTGGATGGTTGAGGCCTGCCTTTCTGGGAAAAGATTTTGGGAGAAATGGGGAGAAGGCTTGGTGGGGAGGGAAAAGGAAGGGAAAACGGGCAGAGGGCAAACTCAGGAACATTTTAAAAAGTAGGGCTGAGAAAATACATAAGTGTATATAAAGGCAGGCTCAGTGATGGCTGCTCTTCTCCCCGCAGATCAAACTGCCCTGAGGCCTAAGAGGGAAGCGCTCAGAAAAGGAGGGGTTCTGAGGGGCCAAACCCGAAGCGGCGGCAGCGGCACCGCGGCGGCGGCATCCGAGGCATTTCTGTAAGAAACATTATTTCAGAGCAGATGGAAGACCATCTCCTCCGGCCACGTGCAGGCCCCCAGCCTGGGACATCCCCCAGCGGCCTGGGGACCCAATGTGGGGAAGAGTTTGGGGTAGACACAGCCCAGTTCAGCTCAAGAGTCTAACGTACATACACGCGTGCGCGCGCGCGCACACACACACACACACACACACACACACACTCACACGCGAGCACGCACACACTCGCGCGCATCCCGCACGCAGGCGCGCGTGCGTGCGGCGGGCAGCAAGCTCTGCGCTTTGGTGCGCTTCTTAACCCCCTCCCCCTCTCGAGTCTTCGAGGGGAACGGAGGGAAACACTGGGGAAACAGTGAGGTGTTTGGGTCAGGCGAGGGTTGGTGGGCTCCGCCTTCAGTCCCCCGCAGGTCCTTGGCGCGGCCCAGCGGCCCCTGGATCAAGGCGATCCGACTGAACAAAGCGGGCTAGACGCCACCTTTCCACCCCCACTCCTTGGCTAAGGAGGGGACAGCGAGGGGAAGGCATCTCCAGCTCCGGCCCCTCGACCGCTGGCCGGTGTGAAAGGGTGGGAACCGGGGGCATCGAAGGGGAGCAAGGGGCCGCACGTCCATGGAGAGGCCAGGGCGCGGCCCCTGCGCCTCCGTGGCTGGCTTTCCCGCTGCTTTCAGGCGAGCAGCCGGGAGGCACTGAAGGGGAAAAGTGGGGATCTGGGGGCCAGTGCCTCAGGCGCAGGTGGTGACCACGGGGGCCAGGGACACTGGGGGAGCTGATGATGCCGAGGGCGCACCCCCCTTCTCCGCCTTCTTCTCCTTTTGCTTGAGGTGGATCTTGGCGTGGCGCTTGCGCTCGTCGCTGCGCGCAAACTTGCGCCCGCAGAACTCGCAGGCAAAGGGCTTCTCGCCCGTATGTGTGCGGATGTGAGTGGTGAGGTGGTCGCTGCGGCTGAAGCTCCGCATGCAGATACGGCACTGGAAGGGCTTGTGGCCCGTGTGGATGCGCAGATGCCGGGTCAGCTCGTCCGAGCGGCTGAAACGGCGGTCGCATCCCTCTGCTGGGCACGCGTGGGGCCGTTCGTGGAGCGGGGTCTTGCTAGGCCGGTTGGGGTACTTGCGGGGCCGGATGGGCTTGAGCGTGAGCGGCGGTTGGGGCAGGCTGCCGAAGCCCGGGTGGATCTGCTTGTCTTTGAATGCCTTGATGGTCTCCAGAGGAGTAATGGGGGGCGGATTGACCCGGATGGGGTCCATGCCCTGGAAGGGCTTGTGCTCCGGAATGGAGCCCATGTCGTTGGGGTGGTGGTACAGGTTGTAGTCAGGAATCATGGGGAAGAGATTGCTGTCCAAGGCTGGCTTGGCCGATTGGTAATCCTGGGGGGAATAGGCGAGCCCGGGATTGCCCTGGGGGTCGTGGAAAGACACTGGCTCCGAGTAGAGATCACCGCAGTTGGAATAGGGGGGCAGCGCCGGATACATGGCCTCCACGTCGCCTTGCGGCGGTTGCACCATGCTGGCGGTGGACGTCTGCGTGCTGAGCGCCCCTGAGGCCGGGGGCACCCCCAAGATGCCGGCGCTCATGAGGCTAATGATGTTGTCCTGGCACCAGTTGGAAGGGGAGTCAAAGGCGAACTTTCCCAAGTAGGTCACGGTCTTGTTGCCGGGGGCTGGCTGGAAGGAGCCCGAGTAAGAGAGTTCTGGGTTGGGCTTCTCGTTGGTCAGACCGATGTCCATCACATTCTCTGCGGAGAGCAGGGAAGAGAGGGGAGGTGTGAGTGAAGCCCAGCCGGCTCCGGGCCGCGGCGCCCAGGTCCTTGCCCAGGTGCTGAGGGTGCGGCCGGGTGGAGTGCGCAGCGCATGGGGTAAGAGGAACGCTGAGCACCGCGCAAAGCGGGCGGTGCCGCGCTCCCAGGCGCAACCTGGATACAGCAAAATACTACGGATCGGGGTGTGGAGTGGCTGCGGCACACATACCGCACAAGCCGCGCACACACTCACGTACCACACACACGCGCGCGCGCGCGAGAAGCATTGTTGTTCTTCCCGAGGTGGGGCGGGCAGGTAGCTGCAGCTACAGGTAGTTTCAGCCCCGAGCGCACCGGGCTCTCGCTCCCCAGCGCACACAACTCGGCCTCTTTCCCCGGCCCTGTCCACTTCAGGACGCCGCGCCTTTCCCGCCCCGGAGATGCCCCCCACGCTCGCTGTGCCAGGGTCGCGGACCTAGAGCGCTCCGACGCTTTGTCCTCAGAGCGTAGAAGGGTGCCGCCCTCAGAGGGAGCTCTCCCTTCTCCTCCCCGGGCCCCAGCCTTCTCCCGGCCTTAAGGAGCTCTCGGCTCTTGCTAGAGGTGAAAAGCGTAGCTCCAGCTAGGAAGGGTGGAGGGCGGAGGAAAACCGGCCCGTGTCTCCATGGTGGGAGAGGCCGACCCTTCCCAAGCTCCCCAGCCCCGGGATCGTTCCCGTGGCAGCCCCCCCGCACCGCGAGTGGGCCCCCTCCTGCTCCCCGCCGTCCCCACACCCCCACGGCTTTGCTGAACGCCCCGGAAAGGCAGCGTCGCAGTACCTCTCCCACCGCGGGGACTCCACGCCGCACATGGCTCCATCCCGGGTGGGAGGCTGAGGGAGTAAGGGGGGAGAGCGCGGGTGAAAAAGACGCTGGGCTCCTCCCGGGAAGGGGGCGACGGCACCACGCCTTGTGCGCAGCCCGGCGATCGATCGGGCCCCTTGCGTGAGGAGGGAGAACCCCACAGCCGCTCGCACCTACCTCCCTCCGGTCGGCGGCTGCCCCCACCCGGGAGAACCGAAGCCTCTACCGTGGCGTCGCCAACCTAGCCTTCTCGATCGGGGAGGGCGGGAGGAGTGGGTGGGAAAAGCAACTCGCCCCCCGGAAAATTCCCAGCGCGCCCCCCATCTTTCCAACATTTATCCATCCATCCATCCATCTATCCATCCATCCATCGCTAGGTCGTTCCCTTCTCCTCTTCCTTCCTTGCCTTTCTCGCCGCCTCCCGGCCGCCCTTACCTGTAGCCATCTGATTGTAATGGGCTACCGAGTCGCTGCTGCCGGAGAAGAGGTTGAGCGCGCTGGGGATCTCCTCGGGGTACAGATTGTCAGGCAGTTGGTTTAGCAAACTGCTCATGGTCACCGGCAGCTTCTCGGCGAGTTTGCCGGTCATAGCACTCCCGAGCTGCCGCCGCCGCCGCCACCGCCGCCACCGCTCCCTCCTAACGCAGCTTCCAGGCAAGCGGCATCGGAGAGGCGATCCGTGGTGCAAGGGAAAAGCATGCGAGAGGGAAAGTTCGGGGGGAGGAGGGAGGGAAGAAGGGAAGGGATGGGCCAGGAGAGGGGAGCTTCTTTTTGGGGGGGGGGTGGGAGGGGGCAAAGGGGGTAATCCTCTTGGGTGTCTCAGCTGGTGCCGTAAGAGGCTGGGTCGTGGGGGTGGGGTGGGGCGTTTTGCAGGGGGTGGGGTGGGGGCTGGGCTGGAGGGGATCTCGGCCCGAGGGGGTCGGACGCGGCCTCAGTATTGATCTCACAAACAGACACGCGCCCGCGGCCCCCCCGCCCCCCGATCTGCCACCACCACCGCCGCCGCTGCTGCCGCCGCCTCTGCCGCTGCCGCCGCCGCTGCTACCACCACCACCAGCCCCGCCGCTTCCTAGCAAGCTCACTGCTGCCCAAAAGCTCCCAGCCAGGGAACTCCACCAGCCTATTTATCTGAGCCCCGGGAAAGCTCCGTGACGTAGCTGCCCATATATGGACAGACAAAGCCCAGCCGAAGGGGCGCGACGTCACAATGGAAGCTCCTCACAATGGAACATTAGAAAGCAGGAAGCGGGCCGCAGCCAACGTGCGGCGCCCGCAACGCTCGCCGCTCTTAAAAAAAGAGAAAGAAAGAGAGAAATAGAAGAGAAGGAAGAAGAAAAATGCGAGAGGAGAGAGGAAAGAAGGAATCAGCTGAGCGCAAAGCACGTCGCGCGGAGTCGAAAAACCAGTAACTTAAGTGTGCCTTTGAGGTCCGCATTAGGAGAGCGCGTTTAGGGGTTTAGCGGACCTTGAGAGGTGGGGTGAGGCTCTTTGCAAGTGGTCTCCAGCACCACCAGCAGGAAGAAAGAGTCGAAAACACCTGGCGATGTCCCTTTGCAGCCAGGGAACTTCTGAGGAGCCCGGGAGGTGTGCATTCCCACCACCCTGCTCCTGCAGCGCCCTCCGTGTCCAGGACCTTGCTGGAGATTAGAAGCAATGGCGGGGGCGGGGGAGGGTTAGCGTGTCAGGATCCTTTGGTACAACATCCCGAAAACTTTTGTGCCCACTTTGATTCTTTGTCCACCCCCCTGCCCCTCCGGGGCAAGAGTCCGGTACATCGGGGGTCGAGGATGTGTGATTTTGGTGATAAAGAAGGAATGAAGTTGGAATAGAAAACACGTGCACTGAATCTCTGGTAAATTCTCTAACGTTTCAGAGCAACCCCTTTGGCCACAGGATGGCAGGAGGGCCCAGCAGGCCGGGTGCAGGCGCTGTCTGCTGCTGCCTGCGAAGGGCCCGCCGCTGAGTTGCAGCAGGAGGACGCTGAACCCACTATCTTTGAGCCACACAGAGGCCTCCCCCCTATTCTCTCCCCACCCTCTAGCCTTCCACAGGGCTGTCTCCACCCATTGCTGCCTGCTGGCGCTCTGCACTCAAGGGCCGCCTGTGTTTCGACCCGGAGCACTGTCACCTCGCCGGGCGGCAGCGGATCCCGGGGGCGGCTGATGTGTTCCCCAAGGCCTGCTCCCAGAGCGCGCGCCGCGGGACCGCGGGCGAGGGGGAGGAGAGGGAGGAAGCATGGAGGTGCGACCCCAAATCACTCCGGCTTGGCGGGGGAGGATTCCCTCCTCGGTGGCCGCGTGGGCGCGGTGAATCCCGCGTCCCCTGCTGGGGAATCGGGGTGGGTTGGGGGACGTGCGTTTCTCAGGGGGAGTGGGAGTGCCGACAAGGAGGAAGAGAGGATCCCCGGGCCTCACGCCGTGGGTGGGCCACGCGGGCCGGGACGTGTGGGAGGAACTCCCGAGCTGCACATTGTGGTGGGGGTGGATGACAACCTCTCTCCCCTCCCCTCTACTTGGCTCGGTGGAGAGCCGGGGATGGGAGGACCCGGCCTCCCCCATCTTCTCCAGTTCTTGGGAAAGGAGGGATTCCCGCCGCCCGCGAACCCCTTCTCCCCTACTCGCCGCTTCTCCCGCCAGGCTCCCCACTCTGGTACCAGGGAGCCACAGCGCCCCCGGGCTCTCCTCTGCCCGCGCGGCGCGGGCAGGGAGCGCGCTGCAGCGGTCCCGCGCTCAGGCCGGAATCAGGGCATGCTGCGGCTCCCGCCCCCGGCTCCTTCCCTGGGGGGCGAGCGGCCGGTCGGGGGCGTGGGCGGCGGTGTGAGCCCGGCTAGGTGCGGGCGGGGCCGGGCGGCTGCAGGGAGGGTCGCCGGGCGGCGGGCCAAGCCGGGAAGAGCCATACAAGGAGCGGATCCGGTGACGCGCCGGCCGCGCCCCTTCTCCTTCTTGATTTGGCTGCAGATTCCGGTCCCCGGATTTGCATATTTTGGCATCCAGTGGAAAAGGAAAGAAGAACGGAACCCGCAGCCTTTAAAGGAACCGCACAGGCTGTAGCGTCACCCAGGGAGGCGGTCTGGGTAGTGTGAAAAATTAGCCAGCGGCTCTGGCCTCTGGCCGCAGAGCCCAGCAGTAGGGGAGGGGCGGGGAGTGACGGCCACCAGCGAGCTACGGACGCGTCAGTCCCACTCCAGGCCTCTCCGGGGCGCTTCCTGCTGCGCGTGCACCAAGAGGGGGTCTCCGCGGTTCCTGCCTGGGGACATAAGGGGCCTTGCGGCCCTGGGTGAACGGCAGGCTCCGGATTGATTGCAGTGCCCAGGCCTCCCAGTGCGAGGCAGAGCTCAGCCTGCGGGGGTGGTGGGAAGGAAGCAAAGGTCTCCCGGTCGCCCGGGTTAACTCCAGAGGACTCCAGGATGAGACTCTCACTTTCCACCTGTCGGGATCTCCCCCTAGGAGGGGTACAGAACGAGGAGCTAGAGACCTCTGTTCGGTAGTGGCCTGCATTGGGAAAGCCAGAGGCAGTGGAAGCATTTGGTATGCTTGCAAGCTTCTAGGGTCCCAGATTGGTTGGAGGAGTGAGTGCAGCCACTCCAGAGGTGTCCCCCAAACACTTTTAGGCTCCCTGGACTTGTTGCCAAAAAGGAGAGCACGCAGCAAGGTTTGCCCGCCTGCTCCAGGGCCTGCTTACAGGTTGGCAAGACTGAATAGGAGTTTTTTGTTTTTTTTTTTGTTTTTGTTTTTTTTGGCAAGATGCCTCCTTTATACTTTCTATTCTTTGCATAGAATAGAAGCCTTCAATTTAATTAAATCAATAAAGCTTCAATGTGACCTTTGGAAAACTTCTGAATTTTTTTTCTTAGCCTCAGTTTGTTTCCCTGTCTGTAAATTAGGATAATAACTTATCCCTTAGGAAGAAATTAGTGAATCTTCGTGGAATACTCATGCTAGATCCTTGGCAGTCACTCAATAATTACTGTATTCTCCCCCGCCCTACTGTGTGTCAGTGACGCTCTTCCCTCTTGGGAGTGAATTTGGGCACCAGAGATAATAAAAGGGCCAGGTATAGAACTGATCACAGATCATTATGATCAGATATAAGACACGTTGATATTTCTTATTTGGGGGGAAGAGGTGTTGTGCCTCGTAACTGCTAGGCTCTGTGCCAGTCTAGGGAGGGTTCAGGAATGGTCCTGGTTCTGCAGGAGCCTAGACATGAACCGCTGGCGGTGACACAAAGCAGGTACAAAGAAGTCACTTGCTCTTTCACAATCTAGAGCACCCTTTCAGATTTTTATGTGGGGGGCAGGGCGGCGGCTGTGGCTCCTGGGGTGATATGGGGGATCCTGGTGCCTTTTCTTCTCTATTCTGCCATGAAAGGAGCCCTGCTGGGGGAAGCCTGCCCTGCAAGATTAGGCCCTCCCTGCCTGGGGCCTGTTCAGGTTGCAGCCCTACGTCCACTGTCACCCTGGACCATGGTGGCAGATAGAGGCCAGGGTTCTGTGTCAAGAGGGCATAACCCTGTGTGGAGCAGGGGTGAGATGATTAGAGTGGCTGCTTTGTGTTCTTCCTTCTGGTTCCCAAGCTTTGAATTCCAACATAGGAAAAAGTTATTCTCTTTCCCTCCCTCCTTGTTTCCTCTCTCCCTCCTGAAGGAGACTGAGGGTGTTTGTCTCTGTTTTATTGGCAGGCTCAGGTGAGATTGCCAAGGGCCTAATTACCTGAACTCAAAGGCCTGAACTTGGGGAGCGAGTAGGCACTGGTTCAGAGCACCCTCTCCCAGGAGATGGTGAGAGGCAGGCTGGCCCCTCTGCAGCAGTGCCAAGGCTGCCCAGGGCTGGCTGCTGAGCTCTCTTACGGAACCCAGCTAGCCTCACCACCTGCCTTCTGGGGACTGCAGCTGCTGGGGGAGGGGGAATGGGTGTGTTTGTCTTGGTGAAGGCAAAGGAAGGAGATGTGCCCCCCAAAATCCACTGCAGAAAAAAAGGCCAAGTTGCAGCTCTATCTTCATTCTTCACTCTATAGTCCTGCATGCCCTCTGAACTTTAGCTCCCTTTTTTGCTAAAGATATCCAGTTCTTCTCTGAAGTTTTACAAGAAGGAATCCCCATCAAGAAATTAATCCAATCTGAGTGTTGGTAATTTAATGCATTGCCCTTCTCAGAAGGTATCTGTACTTTAAAAGAAAACGCCTAGAGAGGGTAATATATTAACCCTAAGGAACTAAGCCTAGTGCTCAGCATAATCCCTGGAGAATGGTAAGTGCATGTTCTGGTTATGGTACATAAAGCCCAGGGACTAGGAGTGGGAGCCTTAGAACCAGATTGTGTCTGGGTTTCTCAAATGACACAAGCACCTGTGTACAGGGCCCACTGGTGGGACTGCTCCTGAATGGCCATGCTTTTTAGGGTCTTCACACGTTTTCCATTTTGGGGTGCCCCATAGGAGGTTCATAGGAGATGGACAGATCTTTGTGGAATTCCCCTGGCCAGCCCTCCCTGGCATTCTAGAGGTCATTGCCATTTTTCAGGTAATGACAACGAGTTTAGAGGCTACATGAGTTTTGCTTGGAAGCTTCTGGAAGGGAAGTATTGTTACCAGCACAGCAGAAGAGCCCCACGAGCTTTCAGAAGTTCTGGAGCTGGTGCTTCTGGTTGTGTTGGGGCTGACATTCTATCGGGGGCTTCCAGGATGTAGTCTTGAAAGATGGGGCCAGAGATATCTGATGCCTGCTTTGTCTGGGCCTTATGGTCACACTTCATTTTTTTTTTTTTTTCATTTTTCATAACAATCCTGTGATAGGAAGGTTTTCGGTCTGGCCCTTTAATACTTTTAAAGA